TGTTTTTCCCCCTCATTGAAATGCATGGAGTTCAATGAGGGGGGAAAACAAAAAATTACCATAAATTAACGAAGTGTCAGAACAACACCAAAATCAGTTTGCATAGGTTTCAGGAGGTGGGCTAACCATTGCAACCATTTAAAACGGCTTCCAAACATTGTAAGACACTTTTACAGGAGCGAAAAAGGACTTCACAAAGCCATTGAAATGTATTGAGTCGGCTTCAATACATTCCAATGGAGGAAACATTGTTTCACACAGCGATGTTTCCTATGGGGATTTTCACTCAGCGATGGCAATCCGTTCCAATTGGAACGGATTAAACGGTTTTCAATGCATTCCTATGTGAAATGGTGTTTCACAGAATGATGTTTCACACAACGTTGATTTTTTTGGAACCAATTAACATCGTTGTGTGAGGCACCACTGTATATATGTTGGAGAATTAGATTAAAATGTAGCACAACTTATAAAATTGATTTAGCATTTTGGGGCAGTATTCTGTTCAATATTTATGGGTATTCCACTTCAACTGCAGACACCAGGGCACTTTGGAATTTTTTTCTATGAACCCTTCTCCTACCTTGATATTCTGCTAGGTCAAATATGCTACTAGTCATGATGGTTACATATTACCTCCAGTGTCCTCTAAATACCAGCAATACAGAACACTTCCTAGGGAACATAAGCAGGAGGAGCTGTTGCATGCACATCCTCTGTAGGCATCTGACTGGTCACTGTGAAATACATTGATGTCATAGATACACAGTGTTGGTCTGATTCAGAATGACTTTTAAAAATGTTCTCTAATACAATCTGTATTAATGACTGCAATCCTGTTGTGTAATTCCATAGTCTTAAAGCTTAACGACATCATTATATATGGACATTAATATTTAATTTAAAGTTTCCTATACATCCAAGGTACCAATGGTGTGCCTGGCTGTGTACAATCAACACCTCATCAGATTGCTGCAGTATCTTCCATAGCAGGGGTTTAACACACATAAATATTGATACAGGATACTGTTTTTTATGTATCAAAATTCATGGTAACTTCCTCTCCTCCAAAATTTCTTGTCATCATAAGAAGAAAAGAAGCCTTTCTATAGTCTTCCTTCTCATTTATTCTGTACATGCTAATTCATATCATTTCTCCATGTACAGCACAACTAAAAATGGGACTTTCCCTTCTTGGCAAAAACCTTTTTTCACATACTGCTGATCTTTTGCTTACCAGTGTTAACTCTTCTTCTCTGACCTTTTGTTGCCACACTATTATCTCAGTTTTATGCAAAACTCACTCCCATCAGCCATTCCATGCAATGCTCTTCCTAAGATCCCTACATGAAGTCCATCACTTTACATCTTCAGAATATGCCTGAATCAAGCACATACTTCTCATTCTCACTTCCAATTCCTTCTATGGCCTTTCCTACATGGTGTCTCTCTGTGATATCCAATTCTAACACCAACTTTCATTCTTCTAGCTCCATTATCTTCCTTTGCTCTCCTGCTTCTCATGCCTGCATCTCCCTCCTAAAATCCTGTATAATATCATCTCTTTTTCTTCCATCAACTCAGAACACTCATCTGTGATTTAACTTGGTAATATCTTTGTATAGTGCCATTTTAAAATCTATGCAGATTTGGGTTGCTTAATAAAACATTCTTCAATCATCATAGTATTTTTAATTACAGAAACATTATATCCTCACAATGCTTGAGCATGTTGTTATTGGAATACACTGATATAGATTGTATGTTTAATGTACTGTTATTATTTTCATTTTGTATGCTGCAAGATTTCTCTAGTACACCAGTTAAAGTCTAGTTGACTCTTAATTCACACTCTACTGCTGAAACCAACATGGAATTTATATTGTTCCAGTTCACCTTCACTTTTTCCCTGTCCCACATGGAAATATAGTGGATTTGACTCAATAGGGTACATGTCTGTTTTTGTTATACAACAATGCTCCTATATGCACTGATGGTTCTATATAGACAAATGATCTACATTGCTTCCATCAATGTTACATCTTATGTATTTCTTATGCAAGCACATAAGAAAATGAAGATCTTCCATTGCAAAGGAGTTTTACTTACCGCTCAGGAGACTCTTCATAAATGCTGTGGCAATCTGTATTCTCCAGCATTAGGCTTCGAGTAAGATTCTGTACTCCTGGGTAATGGAAGTTAGCAAAAGAGTGGGACATAGGAGATGTTTTTGTTCCAAGATCTGTGATGCGTTTATCATGATTTGTTAACCCACAAGACAATCCATCTAATGCAGGGTTTAAAGAGCGAGTCATGTAAGCATCAGCAGATTGAGGCCGCCTCATAGGTGATGAAGGGTAGGGAGAAAGTTTGCTGATGAGGGGTGTCAAGAGATCAGCATAGGCAGCTTTTGTAGGTTTTAAGAGTTTATCAACATGAATATTAAGCATCTTTTGTTCAAAAGCACAAGAAAAAACAGTACAGGGCAGATTCTGAAGCCATGAGAGCAAACTAAGGTCCAAATCATCACAACCATTACCACATAAAAGGTCAATGCCAAGCAACACTTCACTCTCAGTAATTTCTTCTCCTGTTGCTTTACTCTGACAAAACTCCACACAACATTCATACAGTAGTCCCTTCATCACAAGCTGAAATAAACGATTGTTGCTTGCTTTAAATCCAGCCTCACTTAGTTTTCTGTCAGCAGGAATGAACTCCGCCACCATAACACAAGCCTCTTCAAAGCAGTGAACTCGTGCAGTGCTGGGGTTCCAGTCTTTGAATTCTGCATGGTTGGTCAGACGAGGCAATGTGAGAAGTAAGCACAGTTTGCTGTAGTCATCTTTAGAAGGGCAATACTCCTCTAGAGCATGTAGGCATTGAACAGCTTCTTGCATTGTAAATTCCAACTGGAAAAAAAAAGCACCGCTGTTTAAGACAAAGATAACTTCACTTTATCTCTGAAGTATCATAAATAAAAATTAGATAGCTTCCTTTGTTAGACAAAAATGTAATTCCAAAGCATTTGACCAATAAAATGCCACTCAACATATTTTTTTCTATGAACCCTCCTCCTACCTTGATATTCTGCTAGGTCAAATATGCTACTAGTCATGATGGTTACCTCCAGTGTCCTCTAAATACCAGCAATAAAGAGCATTTCCTAGGGAACATAAGCAGGAGGGGCTGTTGCATGCACATCGTAGGCATCTGACTGGTCACTGTGAAATACATTGATGTCATAGATACAGTGTTGGTCTGATCCAGAATGACTTTTAAAAATGTTCTCTAATAGAATCTGTATTAATGACTGCAATCCTGTTGTATAATTCCATAGTCTTAAAGCTTAATGACATCATTATACATGGACATTAATATTTAATTTAAAGTTCCGTATACATCATCTCCCGTTCTGAGGGTCCCTGGAGATTGCTTTCAACCTGGGGAAACATTTGGGAGCCTCAGGACTGGGAGTGGGAGGGAATGCTTTAATACAGAAAATCAGCACTGCTGGCCCCATCACCAGGATTGGGACTCTCAGTAACAGTTTTCACATATTAAAGGCTCCCCATCCTGAATTCCTGAAGCTTCCTATGTCAAAAGGGATCCCTAGGGAGCCTCAAAACCTGGGGGAGGGGCAGGGATATGAAACTTTATGTTCAAGACTAATTATGTCTGATTACATTCTTTAGCTTAACAACTATGCAACTCCATCAACAGGATTCCAGGCAATATGCACTGAAGTGTGATACTTCTGTTTCTTATTTTCACCCTTCGGTTAAAATTGAAAAAAACTCTTCACTCTTACACTGAAAAAACATACATGTATATTTTCAAGCAATTGCCATCCCAAATGTGCAGTTATTCTTCTTATAACTTCATGTTCACTTAATGATGAAATGCTGTTGCCTTGTTATGCATATAGAAGGCAAAAGGCATAACATTCAGTTGTTCTTAGCCAGCAATTATTAAGTCCCTGCTGGAATTCTCAATTGTTCACCAAGACAGCAGTCACACAGTCACATGCACCACAAGGTATCCCAGCAATAACTTTGGCTAATTAATATACTTTGTCCTAACCTTGGTCCACCATTTAGGACACAGGAATGAGAGCATAGTTTCTGATAAGCCATAAAGAGATTTTCCCATCCTATCACCTATAGTTGCTGGTGGAATAGTAATGCAGTGTCTTCCCAAAATGATGTCACTGCCTATATATTTTATTTATATCCCCCAAATGTGCTCTCATGGTGGCTCACAACTAAAAACAGAGATAGTATAACCAAACATATTCCAATATAATACAGTGGCAGCAAGTAAGGCAACACATCAAAGTCATCTTCTGCCTAGGCAAATAAAAAGTTTTCTCATGCTGACAAAAACACATCAGGTGTGATGCCAGGTGAAACTTCTCTGGAAAAGTATTCCATATTCATGTTGCCATGGCTGAAGCACAAGATACTTTCAAAAACTTGCAACACCCACTCTCATTTCAATTGGCAGAGAATAAAAAAGAAATTAATACTGACAGAGAAAGAGAAGGGTCAGTTTTGAACAAAGCTTTCATATTATTTATTTATTTATTTATTTATTTATTTGATTTATACCCCACCTATCTGGTCAGCGAGGACCACTCTATGCGGCTAACAACCATATTTATTTATTTATTTATTTATTTACCAACCACATCTTTCTCCTTAAAAGGACCCAATCCAGCCTACTTGAGCATATATTCATGGCAGACTTACATGCTGAGGCTCATCTTCTGCAGACATTGCATTGTTTACACACAAGGCTTCTAAAAATTTCTGCTTCAGTATGATATACCGAAACCTGTAGAAAAGAAGATATACATATAATCAATTGAGGATAATACAGTACATTAGTGTGAATGTTAATGTGGATGAACTGCAGTTAAAATTCACATTGATAAACAACAATGCTCTTTTTTCCGTTGGAACTTACAATGCAATAAACTGTTCAGTGCCTATATACTCTAGAGAAGTATTGTTCTTTTAGAGATGACTACAGCAAACTATATTTAGTTCTCACATTGCCTTTTCTGACCAACCATGGTGAATTCAAAGGCGAGAACCGCAGTTCATTGCTTTGAAGAGGTTTGTGTCATGGTGGCAGAGGTCATTCCTGTGGACAATCTCTTCCTACAATTTTGAAAAATTATGTTCACAACCAATTGGTTCACTTTCAGTTACAGATTTAAGACCATCAAGTCCAGCCCTCTGCTCTATCTGTTTCCCTTGACCAGTTTTTCTTTTGTACCCAAACCCCCAGTTTTTATCCCTATAGAGTCATCTTTCTGAAAACAAAAATGCCCCAGGTCAAGAAATATCCCAGTAAAATGTACTGCTCTCGCTGATTAGGCACTTTCTAATCGAATGAAAAAGCACTGGGGTGAAAATATGCTATTCAATGTTTTAAACATAGACTTAAGTGCCATTCTTCTGACACTAAACATGAATTTGTTTTCAAATATTTTAATATCCTGAGATCCACTGGAATTTGGCATGGGTTAGTAAAACATCCCAAAACCATTTGTGCACATTTATTTGCAGAATTACATGAGAATCCTAGACTGAAAATTTCAGGTACATACATGTAGGTGGTGGGACAAGATACAGGGTTTATATTTAATGCTGCGGAGCCAGAGGTTGGAAGTTTGACTCCCCATGGCGCCCCCTGGGAGACGAGCTAGGCTACATAGCCTTAGGCAAGTTGCACAGTCTCAGAGTTCTTCCAGAAGAAGGGAACGGTAAACCACTTCTGAGTACAGTACTCTACATACAGACACTCCTGGAAAAGTTCACCATAACTCAGAACTGGCTTGACAGCACACAATAATTATTACTATGAAGAGTACAAAGCTAGTCCAAAACTCTAATTTAGCTTTCAGAAGAGCACTAGACCTCAAGGTTTACAATGACCATTCCTTTAATAATGATATAAATATGGCTGTGATTGTAACTTTTGTAATATTATTGTATCACTGTTGCAAAGTTACTATTAATTTACCTTTTCTTGTCAAATTTGTCCATGCATTCAAGAGGTTGGATGAACTGAAGAACCTCATCCCATTGACCATCAAGGATCAATTGTCTTTTAAAAAAATTAAAGACATTTATTGAATCATGTTAAACGTGAATGGCACACAAACCCTCCCCCCAAAGCAGCTGACCAGAGAGCTTTACAAAGTTAATGCTGTTGAAAGCAGTTAATAAGATTATCTCCTCATTTAAATAGATAAAAGTAAAACCTAAATCCTTGTAAACAACATGCCTTTGTAGCACTACACACCGTTGTGAGAACAAATAGCAAATATTCCTATTTTAAAAGTAGTAGGAGTCTATGGAATGCTTTAACATCTAATAGTTTCCCCTCAAAATATTTCATTATTTCACTAGATTAATAATAAGTTCTGAAACTTTTAAACAGAACAGCTCTATATAATGATATGTGCTTTTTATATATACTGTATAGCATCCAGAGATTGTAACTTATAGTAAAAGAGCAGAAACACATATGTAAGCTTGCATCTGGAAAAGAAATAACTGACAATCTCCTAAATGCAGTAAGAGTTGATGGGCAAAAAGCTCCAAAGCCTCTTGGACTAGACAAGTTAATTCCAGTCCAAGAATGAACAGCTTCCATTTGAAAGCTGCATAGAGTTAAGCACTGCCAGCAAATGTCTACATGATGCAGTGATAGTTATTCATTAAATAAAGTTTTAAAATATTATTATTTAGAAAAAGCAATCTCAATGGATGTTCGTATTCATCTGTCTGTTCAGTTTTTCCATCTTGGCACACATAACAAGAGTAAATATATTCTTAACTACTTGTCCAAGCAATCTTAGCTCATTTAAGTAAGTTATTCTAGGTACAGAATTCTAATGTGCTTTTGTAATGGAATGGAAATAAGGGAAGCAACAGGTCTATATGGATGTTTTTCTGAGCACAAGAATGCTACTCCTCAAGTTAAAATTAATGGGTTCCTCTCTCCTTCATCAAGGCATGCTGCTCTCAAATTATTATACCAGAAACATATCAATGGCACAAGAGAGCTTTTGGCATATGTGCTTGATTTTTTCCACAATAATTCAAATAGCAGTAACCACATCCATAAGAAAATCAGGACTTCTCATCTTGAGGATGGACATATAAAGTATATATTAAAATGTTTGAAATTAAACTTTTCCAAAACTAAAGATGTGTCCAAAAATAACTAAATACACACCAAGCCTAGGGTTTTACTACCAGTTATTGTGATGTAATGTATTTTGTGCCAGGAGACCTCCATACCTACTACCATTTAATGAATGAAACTATTACTGTATTCTCAAAACTATTACCGCTTGCAAAGTTTAAAAATAATTTAATTTTATTTCTTCTACATAAGCTAGAGGAAAAAATCAATGATTTTTTAAAAATCAATTGATTTAAATCACGATTTAAATTGTCAAGAAAATCTGATTTGTTAAAATTTAAATCATGATTCAAATCAAAACCACCCTGCTCTAAATAGGCATATACTAGTATCCGAGAAGCCATAGCCTACTTAACAGAATATGACAGGTTTTCTGTTCTAAAATCAGAATGAATTGAAGGATCTTCTTCAACAAAGTGCCAAATAAAATCAGAGAAAGTTAAAAATGTCAATCATGAAACTCTTAATTCTATATCACAGAAGAATTAATTTGGCCTTCATCTGAATCTGTGGTAAGACAATGCATTCTTACACATACTTAAAAATATATACATCCCATTGAACACAGCAGAACTTCCAAATAAATATGCATAGGATCAAGATGTAAACATACGTAAATATATCACTCATACAATGTATTTAATGCTACCTTATGCTGGGATCTACAATTTCTGATATAGTTGAGTGGCTTAATGTTTTCAACAGTATAGCATTCTTGGACATTTGATTTAAAAGATGCATTTGAAACCATTGTAAAAATGTTTCCATTTCACTACTGCACTCTAGAATTCTCTCACATTTAAATAGGGTTAGAGATAAATTGTATTCACTATCACCAGAATCCACACGCATAAGGGCAATTGCAAACATGTTTTTTTGTTTTGTTTCCCAGCTGGCTACTTCATGACTGGCGGTATGATCAATTGTTCAATCTGGAGATCAATGGATGCATAATAATACAGCCTGGAAACAGCAAATTTTATTTGCATGAGTGCCATTACATAAACCATCAGGATTTCTGCTAGCATCTAGGTAACATAGACAAATGGATAACAGGAATGTCAAAATACAGTTATTTCGAAGGCATATCAAAACATTGCAGTCCTGAATTTAAAAACAATTCAGCTTATTTTAGATATATCTTTAATATTATGACCATAATTTCTACCTTAAGAAAAGCATATCATCAGAGAACAGTCCATTTATTACTCCACTTTCTTTCTCCAAAGCCAGCATACTGATGTGAAGTTTTCTCGAATTCAAGAAATCCAGGATTAGTTTGACTATTTCAGCTTCTTTTACATTCACTGTCTCTTCTGCCGTCATTGTGGTAGACTGGAAAACAAAACAAAACAAATCAAACTCTTACTTTATTTAAACATTTTAGCCCACCCTATATCACAGGATCTCAGGAGAGATTATAAGGCTGTACAAAACAATTTTGAAACAAGTGATACTTGAAACAACTTAAACTCAAACAGCACAAAAATTTAAACATTAAAAACATTAAAACTATTACACTAACAACCTGTGCAGGCCATGATTCTCAACCCCCAAAGGCACTACCAGTAATAAATATGTACATCTTGCCTTGGCTCTGAAATGATGTCTATACCAATTGAGC